CCCCCCAGGTTCTCCACCCGCTTCCAGAAGGGCGATGTGGCCGTCACCGTGGTGGAGTCGGCCAAGGTGGACAGCAACGTCCCCGTCTGCAAGAAGCGGGGCAGCCACAAGATGGAGGTCCTGGTCCACTGAGGGAACCGCCATCCCCTGCCAGGACCCCCACCCACGCACCGGCACCCCCACCCACCCCCTTTGTGTCATCCCCCTGCCTGGCTGGGTCCTTGCACCACCCAGGAATTGCTGCAAACTCATTAAACAGATGCTCTGGTGTCAGTACGCGGGTGGCGTTGCAGCAGGTACCCCCGTTACAGGCAAGGCAGGGAGACCCAGTCGTGCCGAAGCCCCAAGACATGGCGTGGCAGGGCGGGGGCAGAGCCTGGCGCCAGGAATGGAGCCCCCCCACTCTGGCCCCCCGCCTTTCCTGCCGCCTGATTGCGGCCAGCGCTCCGCTCAACAGTGATTGGAAAGGCCCCAAATTGCAGCCACTTTTCCCATTAAATGGGAAAGCAGCTCGCTCTGCTGCAGAGGCAATTTCTGGGTGGCCGCGGGTGGCTGGCACGTGAGGTCCTCAGCACCTGCCTGCCTGCACTGGCTGTCCCTGTCTCCCCCCACCCTGCTGCAGGACCCCCTGTGCAGGACACTCCCCGCCGCACCCCCACCTCACCCAGCTGCGCCCCTGCACCAGCAGCCCTCCCCAGTCTAGCACTGCGGCTCCTGGGCTGGCGCTGGAGCTGCATTTGGGGACCGGGGCTGCAGCCCGGAGCAGAGCAGGGGGACAGAGAGGAGCTACCACACGGCCCCAGTGCGACCACTGCAGCCCAGGTCTTGCAGGACCCCCACCAGTCCTGCAGCCCCCAGGAGCCGGGGTCCCCACACAGCTCCCACAGCAGCCACCCCCCTTGCTGCCTTTTCTCTCCTGTGCTCTTCAAGCTCTCGGAGACTTTTTTTTTTTTTTTCTTGTCCCCACACGTCACTCGCATTACCTTCAGGAGCTGACAACTCCCCATCACATCAGCATCAGCACCAGCTCCCAGGTGGGCCCTGGAGCATCAATGCGGTTTGTCGTGCACGGGGGGGGATGACATCTAGGCACGCGTGCCAGGGCACTTGGGCAGCGTGTGCAGCCGGGGGGGCATGTGCATGTGCGCGGGGGCACTTGATGGCATTGACATGCCCCGGCTCCAAGGGCTCCCCCCGCTTCCCGCTGCGGGCTGTGTCACGTCCCAGCGCAGGGACCTTCCTGCCCGTGTGTGGCGAGGGGCGAAAGCCATAAACAAGCCTGCCGCAGCCCGGGGCACCGCAGCTCTTCGCGGCTGCGTCGCACTTGGCACCACACAAGTAGGTGTTATTAATTAATTAGGCCGTCTCTGGCCAGGCTCCGATTTAATTAACATCCCCGGCACTGCAGATGCTGCCCTGCCCCGGGCTGCGCTGCCACGTGAGCTGCCACTGCTGGGCCACCTTCCCGTGGGGCTGCCGCAGCTGCCAGCGCAGCCACCTGTTGCTCAGGCTGAAGTTGGCGGCTCTCGCTCGTTGGCCTGTGTGCTCCCCCTTCCCTCGCATCCCTCCGGTTCCCCCCAACTTTTCCTCCCCATCTTCCATCTCTGCACACCCCAGCCTCCTGGCTGGGGCGAGGGCGCAGAGGCACTTGGGGTGGCTGGGGATGGGGGGGGCATCGGGATGCAGGATCAAGCCCAGGCTCCCAGGAGGCCAAGTTGGGCTGGGGCCATGGGGGGCTGGCACTGGTGGTTCTGGCCCCATCTGGGTCACAGAGGGGTCTAGGGAAAGAGGCATGTGGGGCTGGACCTGGGGCTGCCGGGGCCCATCAGAGCCGGGAGGGCTCCCCGTGGGCAGCACTGGACCGGGCAGGCCAGGAGCCCCAGAGTGGGGCTGGGGGAGACAGGTAGGGTGTGCAGTACAGAGAGAGTGTGCGCGTGTATGGGCACATGCGTGCTTGCGTGTGCAGTTGAGGAGTTTTATGTGTATGCAGGTGAACACATGTGTGCATGCACGTGCATGCGTGTGCATTGTGTGTGCATGCGTGTGCATTGCGTGTGTGTGGTGGGAGCCTGGCTGATCCATGCTGTGGTGCGAGACCTCCCAAAGCCCAGCTGCAGAGCAAGCGCCAGCAACTGTGCCAGTGTGGCAGACAGGACTGCTCCCACCACATGTGTCCCCACACGTGCCAACGGCTGCATCGTGCTCGGGTGTGCATGTCCCCCATGCCTGCAGCACAAGGAGGGGCCGGGGGCTGCATGGGCATGGTGCCTGTGTGCTGGCCCCCTACCACAGGGCGCTGCGGCACGGTGGGGAGCTGGCGTGCTTGCGTGGGCGCGCTTGTGTCGCGGTGTGACTCTGTGTGTGTAACGGGTGCCTGTCGGTGACACGGTCCCTGCGTGGGCGTGAAGCTGCAAGGTGGGGGTACCACCCCCCCGGCCCCCATTGGCGGCTCTCCTCTCACCCACCCACACCATGCCATGGGCAGAGCCCCTTATTTAACTCCGCACAGCAGCCAGCACCCCGGTACTTCGCCTCCTGGCTGAGCCTGCGCTGGGAGAGCCATCGTTGCAGCCTGCAGCCATTGCCCACCTCACCTTGCCGTGTCTCCCGCTCTGCAGCCGCCAGCGGTGAGGGTCGCTCTTCCCCCAGCTCTGCACTGGGAGACACCTGAGGGCTCAGCAGGTCTGTGCCCCTGCGGCACCCGGCCCTGAGGGCTTCCTGGGGTTCCTGGGGGGCTGCCGCATCCCATCCTCACCCAGTTCGGGCTGGGAGAAGGCAGAAGGGAGGAGAGGAAAGTTGGTGAAGGCACTGGGGAGGGCATGGGCCGGGAAGAGAGACAAGGCGAAGATGCTGCTTGAATTCGGAGAGGGCTTGGGGGGGGCTCTGGAAGCAAGTCTGGGTCTGGGATCTGTCTGTCAGCAAGCGTGTATGTGCCAGTGCATGTGTCAGGGGACACGTGTGTGTGCTAATAGGGGTGAAGGTGAGTCCGAGCCTGCCTATGTGAGCTCGGTGTGCCCGTACTCGCCCTTGTGTGGGTCTTTGCACGGTCCGGCTGGTGTGTGACCGTGCAAACACGGCACCACAGGCACGAGCGGTGGCACGGGACCCCCAGGCCCACAGTGGAGCCATGTCCCCCCGCACCTCTGCGATGCATCCCCCATAGCGTGCCCCCCCCGCACCCCTGTAAGGCAGCCCTCGGCTGCAGCCCCCCCTGCCCAAGACGCTGGCAGAGTGCTGCCAGCCCGCAGCTGGGGGAGGAATTTACCGCCCACTCCCCGCCGACCCCGGGAAGCGGTGCGGTTCCTCCGACCGCAGACACGGGTGGGCCCCCCCCCCGGCTCCCGGGTCGCTGCTTT